TTTTTAATTATTATTATTATTATTATTTATTCTTACTTTTTTTTATAACAATTACATACACGTGACGCATAGAAAGAAAGAGGAAAAAAAATAATAAATAAATTTTATTAAAACTCATTGAAAAAAAATTTTTTAAACCTTGTGTTGTTTTTCTATATATAGATAGATATATAAACTCGACGGCATTTTATAGCGATAAATCATGTTAACGGGGGAACCAGGGAAAAATGTTTTAAAAAGGTGTTAAAAAAAAATAAAAAAAAACTACGGGGAAACGGTTAAAAATAACGATTTAATTATTTGATAACCCTTTGATAAAAAAAACGCGCGCGCGCGTAGGATGACGTAAATGATTTTGTATTTTTAAATAAAAAAAAATTATTATTATTATTATTATCATTATCATTACTTTTTTTTTTAAAGATAAACGAACTTTTACTCGGTTTATAAATTTTTTTTTTTTGGGTAACAAAAACAAACAGCATCGAATAAAATTCGTGAGTGATGATGATTTTTAAAATTACGAATTTAAAAAAAAACCGTTAAATATTATTATTATTATTAGTATTATTATTATTAAAAAAAAAGGGGATCATTTTTTTTTCCTGGATAAAATCCATCGTCATCTTCAAAATGTCGATTTCATCGGTTTGAATTTATCAAAAAAAAAAAAAAATGAGAAAAAAAATGCACCTGCTTAACCTTTTTTTTCTTTCTCCTTTCATTCGGTTTTTGACTCCTCCTCTCCCTTCCTCTTCCCCTTCTCCTTTCGGCCCCCCACTGAATCCCCGACCGAGCCCCCGACGCAAACACAGAATTTTTTTTTAAGGGTGTTGTTTGTTTAATTTTAGAACGTGAAAAATGTGTTATATTAAAAAAAAAAAGTAAGGAGTGTTCGTTTATACAAAGAAAGAGCAAAAGGAGCATCCGCCGCCATTTTGTTTATTTATTTATTTTTTTAATTAATAATAATAATAATAATAATAATAATAATAATAATAATAATAATAATAATTTATTAGGGAGGGGAGAGGAAAAAAATTTTTTTAATTTTTAATATCGATTTCAATAAGATAGTAGTAGTTATATATATTAATATAAATATTTATTTAAATGATTATAAAAATCGTAAATGATTTCGTATAAAAAAAAAAAATAATAATAATAATAATGATGACGATGTGAGAAAAACGTTCGGACGTTCGCGACAAGCAAATCCTGCTGTTTCGACGTATAAATTTAACCAATCGGCGATTAGATACATAGGTAAATAGCAGAAGGAATATATGGATTTACATTCTACCTCCGAGTTCCCGAAAGCTGCGATTCCCCATATAAAATTGTGGCAAACTAGGGGTCCGCCCGAATCTCCCCGACAAATTGCGGGTGGATCATTGACATCCCCATGAACGAAACATATTTGATCGGGTACAGGATCGTTAAAGTACACCAAATCTAATCTTTTATTCTTGAAATATCTTTGTGTGAATTCCGTTTCCGGATCTTGCGTGACTCCATAACCGATCGATATACAATCGAAAAGTATATCTTCTTTCACTGGTAATACAGTACATAATAATAATAATAATAATAATTGAAACACGTGACTTACGGTAATAAAATAATAATAATAATAATAGCAAGTGACATATATATTACCCGTGGCTATTTTAACAAATGGTACGGTTTGCATAAACGGACTTCTTATCATCAATAATGCCACGTCGATTCCCCATTCTTCATAATCCGGATGAATTGCGTATTCACTGACAAGGCTTTCTTCCACCCCGAATTCATCTCCCACGTATCTTTCATATGGAGTTCTCACACGTTTTTCAACGTATAATTCGAGATTGTTTTGACTTAGTGCGACTATCATCAAAGGTTTGGCACAGTGACCCGCGGTCATTACGATTCTACCGGTCACTAAACTTCCCGTGCATCTCGTATTATTTAGTAAACTTATTATAAAAACGACGTAGGTGGCGACACCTTCGGGTACGGGTTGACCATTGAATATTCTCAATCCTTTATCGTTGTGTCCTTTGCTATTTTTTCTCACTTCCGCCATGGAATCGTATTTTTTGCTAAAGTGTGCTTGTTTTTGTGATAATAATTTTACGCAATTTAATTTTAATAATATTATTATAAATGTTATTACCAACGAATTACGATCCATCCCGTTCGACTATGTAAAAAAAAAAAAAAAAAACTATACACCGATCCCACGTGATTTCCCCTAATTATTATTAATATTATTAACCCATCATTTACACTTCGAAATTTTTATAATCGTTTTTGATTTATAAAAAATCGTAAAAAAAAAAAAAAAAATCAAATTCATAATATTTTTATAAACCGGCGTACATTAATAATAATAATAATAATAATAATAATAATAATAATAATAATAATAATAATAATAATAGGATACAGTATTGTAAATTTTAAACGTTTCGGGGAAAAAAAAAAAAATTTTTTTTTAGAAGTTGCAAACCTTTTTTTTTTTAATCAAAATTTAAGGTCGGTCATACAATTTTTTTTTTTTTTAAATCAAACGAAACAATGCTTTTAAGGTTTCAATTGAAGATTTTTACTTGGAGCCTTTTATCAATTCACAAACAAAACCTTTCTTATCGATTTCAAATTGTTATTTTTTTTTTTTCTAAAAGGAAAAATTTGTAATTTATATGTTTAGCTTACGAACGATACGAAACGAGATTTAAAAGGATTTTTTTTTTTCGTAACTTTTTAGTTTTGAGGGTTAAAAAAAAAAGAAATTTTTTTAGGGGTCGTAATAAATTACTCTATGAAATATTTAGTGACGTCACACGTCTTACAAACGAATCGATCGATAAATTTAATAATTATTTCGGGAAAAAATAAAAAAAATAATAATTGAAATTTATTTGAAAAAGAACGAAAATTAGCGCGAAGTATTTTAAAAATCAAATATGTTTACAAAGGGAATATTTGTCGCGAAAAATTTAATAACAACAATACAGCCAACTGCGAAAAACAAAAAGAAAAAAAAATGTCAGATTGTAAACAAAGAACGCGAGCGTGTATGAAAAAAAATTTACTCGATTGAAAATTTAATATTTTATTTATTTGTGTTGTTATTGTTGTTTGTTGTTGTTGTTTTTTAACAATCGATTGTAGTTGTTTATGAAATTTAATTTAAAATTTTTCAAAGGTAAGAATATAATTTATTATTATTATTATTATTGTCATCAGGATGATTTCGGGTTAAATTTAGGTTATTCAGGTTTATATAATAAACAGGAAAAAATTTTTTTTTTTTATGTGTGTAAATTTTTTTTATTCTTTTAAGTATAAATGCAAATTTTAAGGCGATGAAATTACTCAATATCGTTTCCTTTGTTTTAGTAAAAAGGAAAAAAGGAAACGAATTTTTCTTTTTCTTATAAATATTCTTTCGTTTTATCATCCGCACCTGAAAAATTAAAAAAAAAATTATTTTTTTACTTTTAAAACGTGAAAATAAAAAAATTTTAAAAGTATCGTTTGTTTAAACGTGAAGGGAGGGTGGTAGAGTGGGGGGAGAAAGGTAAAAAGGTTTTGTTTGTTTGTTTTTTTTAAAAGAAAAGAAGGAGGACCTTTAAGACTATAAACTTCTCCTTTTCATAATTATTTTTAAATTGAGTTGCTGAAAAAAAAAATAAAAAAAGAAAAAGAAATTTTTTTTTTTTATTAACACAATAATTAATATCATTATTATTATCGTGAGGGTTGTAAATGACGTAAGTAACGCACGCGCGTCACGCACTAAAACGTGCGTAATTAATATAAATGTATAAATAATTATCCTGCGGTTTTTCCTTTAAAAAAATGAAACTCATAAATTAAAATGTAAAATTTTAAAATTTTAAAAAACATAACAACCCTAATTAGTTAAAAAGAGAGAGAGAGGAAGAGGAAAGGAGAAACAGGGGGGTGGTGGTGTGGGGAGTAAAAATTTAAAAGGTTTAAAAGAGAGAGAGAGAAGAAAGAAAAAAATGAAGAAGATGAGAAAAGATAAAAGTTGATAAAAAAAATGATTTTACTAAAAAAAAAAAAAAAATCGAGTTACGTGAATTTTTTTTTTTTTAAATAAAAAAAAACCGACTTTTTGTAAATTTTACCACCGCCATTACCGCCGACGACGTCGACATAAACGCCGACACCGCCGACACTAAATACAAACAAACGGCGGTGAAAAAAAATTATTATTATAATTTTTTTTCACATTCGGTTTTAAAATAATAAAATATAAATGAAAAAGAATTTTCCTTTTTTCCTTTTTTTTTTTTTTTTTCATTCCCGATTCAGTTTCCGGTAATTATTATTCGGATATTTTAATGTTTTCCGTTTGTTTTTTTTAATAAAAAGTCATAGAGGAGGAAAACGTTTAATATTAAAACAGGTGACACAGGAAGGAAGGAAGGATAAACACATACACACACAATAATTGCCAACATAACGAATTTCATAAATTATTATTATTATTATTATGATAATGATGTGAAAAGTTTTTTTATTATCATTTTATTCTGTTTTATCTGATAATTAAATTGTTTTTTTTTTTGACTTTTTCATTAATTATGGGTACCTGAAACGTTTTTATTTCGTTTAATCCTTCGTCGTCCGCCATTTTGTTTTTTCTCTCTCCCCCTCCCTTTTTTTTATTCACGTGGTAAAAACTCTTTTTATAGAAAGAAAAAAACTTTTTTTTTATTTTTAAACGTAATTTACTGCTGCCTTTTTTTTTTCTTTTTGAATTATATCATTATTATTATTATTTTGCGTTTGACAGATTTTATTAATAATAATAATAATAATAATCGTCATCATTTTTCTTTTTTTTCTAAAAAAAAAAAAAATCTCACAAATAAATTTAAATTAAAAAACTTTTTTTTTTTTCAACTGATGAAAGTTGAAAAGTGTAGTTATGGCCTAATTCCAAAATAAACTTTTTAGGTTTATTTTTTTTGTTCTTCTTCACCCCCTCATGCCCCCTCTCCTCCCCCTTTTTCTACGATGTTTAACCTTTGCCCTCTACCCCTTACCCCATCGGGTTTTCTCTTCGTATTTTACGAGTTAATTGGTAATTAGAGAAGGGAAAAAAATGGCGAAATCACTTTTTTTTATCCTTTGAATGCTTAAAAAAAAAACTTATATGTTTAATAATAATAATAATAATAATGGCGACCGGAAGTTGATGATAATTAGAAACGGTTGTTGCGAGATTAATTTTTTGTGTGGGGAAAAAAGGTTTGCATAATGAAGAAAAATCAAAAAAAGGTTTAAAGCGGGTAAAAAAAAAAGCAGGTTATAAGGAGATGGGGAGGGAAGGGCGGGGGGAAAATTAACCGGAAATGTAAATAGTTTAACCGGAAACGTTTAAAGTTTGGTCTCGAAACGGGTATTTAAAAAAAATTTTTTTTTCTCGTGCGCCAGTCAAAGGATTAATAAAAATTTAAAATTTTTTCCTTCGGGAATAAAAATAACGGACGGGGCGATGAAAGGAGGGTGAGGGGAAGGGAAATACTTTTAAATTCAATCGCACGTCTTACCTTCGATGACACATTTAAGAACGTCACCGTTCGAATTGAGCGTCACTCTTGCGTGAGTTTTTTTAACGGTTTCGCCGTCGTTGTTTGGGTGACACGTGACCGTGGAAGAAGAAACGTTTCCTTCCGTCGAATCATCAATTATCACATCCGAATTCCTTTGATTACACAAATTCAAAGGTTTTATTTCGACGGGAATGGGAATGGGTTTGATTTCAACAACGACGGCGTCGTTGTGGGAAGACGACAGGGATAACGAATTACGAATTTGTCTCGCGGCGGATCCACGATTTTTGCGTATGACCGCAGTACGCGTGACGTCATCGTCATTATTTTCCGTAAACGGTTTTAACGTGTTGTTGATTTCATCGAGTGGTAAAATGTCTTGAAAACTTTTCCGTTGGGAATTATTTAATTTTATATTTTTATTATTTTCTCGGAGCATGGGAACTTGAAAAGAATCCGTTTGAATTTTTTGCGGTGGTAGAAAGAAATTATTTTCCGTTGAATTTTTCCTTTTGCAAAGGAAAAATCCGGCAGCCGTGACAATGGCACCGATTATCAACAATGCGATTCCTATGAGTGCACCCAAAATTATTATCATAGGATTGCTACCGTCTTCGTCTTCTGCATTACCGTTCATTGTTTCTGCAACGAAAAAAAAACCCTGAAGATTTACTTACGGGGTGGAGGGGAGGGAGAAAGAGAGGGTAATAGATTTTCGATACGATTTCGATATATCGATTATTCTCGTTCGATTGTCTATTTATTTATAAAATTATGCATAGCATCTGTCAACTTTTATGTTTTTTTTTCGTTTTCGAACGAAAAAAAAAATACGCGCGTGCGCATATTTAAGCGCGCGTTTTTCTTCCTTCTCCTTCCTTATTATATTTATCGATAGTAAAAAAAAAAGAAGTTTAACATATTAAAAGAAATAAAACAGTAAAAATTGTTTATAAAAAAAAAAAAATTTTAGTAAACAAAAAACATTTTGTTTATATGATGTGTGCCACGTTGCGACGTTATGTTTTTTATCATTTCTCTTTTTAGAAAATTATTTATTCAATTTTTTTTCTTCTAGAACTTTTCCAAAATAATAATAATAATTTTTTTTATTTTACTTACCGGTACTCGTAAGTCTCGCAGTTAAACTTCCATATTTAATACGAGGAATGATAAATGGGGGTTCGCTTCTACCTTTTCCATTGACAGCGTAAACTGAAAATGTATAAAGTTTTCCCGATTCGAGACCTCGAACTATAAAATTAGGTTCCGAACTTAAAATTTTAAACTTTTTACTACTCATTTCTTCGTTACGATTATTATTATTATTATTATTATAATTAGTTTTAAATTCGATAGTGTTATCAATAACGAGAGAAATATTAAATTCTGAAACTTCCAACATGAAATGCTGTTGAAGTCCTCCATCGTTTCCGGGTAAACAAATTATTTGCAAACTTCCCCCCGACGTTGTTAAATTTTTCAATTTGCAATCGTTGGGTGCTTGAGGTACTTCTATAAAAAAAAAAAAAATTTTCATACATTTTTTTTTCTTAATGACACGATTATAAATTTTTGGGTGATGTGTTAGTGACACGTTATACTAATACGTGGATATTTTCCACGTGTATTTAATAAATTCAATTTTTTTTTTTTTTGTAAAATCAATCAAATACGTCACAATATAAATTGTATTTATTAATAATAATAATATGCGTAAGTTTCGGGGCAGGAGATTAACAAAAAAAAAAAAGAAAAAAATTAAATTAATATTACGATTTAAAATTTCCCTCTCCTCCCTTTCCCTCCTTTCTCCCACTTTTTTTTTAGTGTGTAAATGCCAAATGTTACATCAGCGCACACATTTTCGTGGGGAACCACTTTTATTTTTTATTTTTTTATTTCGAAAAAGTATATTAAGTAAGAGAATTAAATAAATTACGAGAATTTTTCTCCTTTTTGCTTCTTTTTCTCTCCCCGCCTCCCCCCGCTCCCCAACACCAGCACCGCCACAGCCATTTCTTCCTTTTCCTTTCCCTTCATTCCCACCTTCCCGCCTTTCTCACAACGTTGCGGAAACTATTCACCCTCATATTTCTTTTTTACTGGTAATGTTTTGGTATTTTAGTCATTTTTCTCGTATTCTTTTTAACCTTTTTCCTTCTCCCCCCTCTCCCCTCTCTCCCTCTTTCCTTTTTCTCTCGAACCCTTACAAACGCACACATATAATATTTTTTAAAAAAAAAAAAAAACGGCGGAGGGTAATTTAAAAGCGTGTAAAAATTTTGTAATTCGTTTTGCCTCCACCCCTATCACCCCCTCCCACCACTCTCCCCCGTTTTTATTAAGTTTAAGGTCGAATGATAAAAAAATTATTATCATTATTTTTTTTATCCCGGTGACACCGTCACCGCGCCGCATACGAACACACGAACAAACACATTCGCACACCACGCACGCACGCATGCACTCACGCACGTCACGCCAGAAAATTCCGCATGACCGCCGACCGACGTCACCGCCGCCACAATTTTATTTAATTTATACAAGGTCTAATGTCACGTAAGAAAAGGAAAGTAAATACTAATATGTTTTTTTTTTTTTTTTCGTGGCAGATGCCGTGTAACGTTTTTTAATATTCATACGGTTAAAAGAGGGAAGGGAATTTTTTTTTCATTCTTCTTACATCCTCTTGGGGGATTTTTTAATAATAATAAACTTACTTGCGGGATATATGTGGATCATACACGGTTCTTTCTGTCGTCCGATACTGTTTACAGCCCAACAAGCCAATGTACCAAAATCGCTATCACTTATCGGTGTAAAATCAATATGACTTTTTAAATTTAAACTCGTTACTCTCGTTGCCGGAAGTGGTAAAACATCACCGGATGTGTTAAACGTCCAACTGAATTTAACATCCGTCGATGGTTCGGCTTTAACTTGACATTCAATTGTGAGCGTATCTCTTTTCAATGCTCCGATTTTTTTCGATTTGTATTCGTCAACGCATCTCGGAGGAACTGGAACAAACAAAAATAAAAAACAATTTTTAATTATTTAACCAGAAGGTAAAATTATCCAACATGTTACCATCTTTAAAAAAAAAGAAAAACGGAAATGAAATATGTTAAGTAGTAATTTACCCCTCAAAGGTACAAAAAAAAAAAAAAATTGATTGATGTTGTATATAAAACAAAACAAAAACATGTTTTTTTTTTTAAATGATGTATGGTTGTTGCCTTGTTTTTCTTATTCCGTACAATTTTTTTTTTTTTTTAAACAACGTCAAAAAATATTTTTGGGTTTTAATCATTTTGTTCTTTTCTTTTTTTAAAAATAATTACCGGGAGCAAATTTTTCTCTTCCCCCCTCACCCCTCACTTCTTTACACGTATTATTTATATTTAAAAAAAAAAAAAAATTTTTTTTACGTAAAGTTGGCAAACTTTGAAACGCATACCCTATTTTTTTTTTTTAAATAATAAAATTACGTTTCAATTTTAAAATTATTAACATAATTTTTTCTTATGTTGGCAACCATTTTCGTTGTATTTTTTTCTCCAGTTTTTTCCCTCTTTTTCCAGTTTGTTAATCCCTGGAAGATCCCACAAAAAGATCCACAAAAATTTTTCATTTCAAATTCATCGATATCGTCATGTATATGTCACTTTGCTCAAACGCTTTTTCGCTTCAGTTTCCGATCAATTTAAAACGATTAGATTTAGTTACGTCAATCAATTCGTGATTATTTGATCGTGGAAGAAGAAAAAAAAGCGAATTTTTTTTTCCGTCGTTTTTACTAAAATTATTAATTAGTTTTTTACTTTTTTTAGTTTTTCAAAAAAAAACATCTTTAAAACTTTTAATTGGACTGTTATTTATATTTTTTCTATTCGTTTTATAATTTTTCAAAAAAAAAAAAACGTGGCAGGAGACGCGACATATTTCCATCTTCAAGTTCAGGCAAACAAACAAACAAAAATACTAAAAAAATTATGATAATAATAATAATAATAAAAAATACACAACGGATTTGGAAAAATTTGTAAATTTTTTATACAAACAACAAACAATCGTTGACAGTTGTTATCAATTATCAGTTGTTCGATTGGAGAAGGAGTAGGTGAAGAGGACGTGGAGGTAGAGGAGGAGGGACGGTTAGTAGCAGTCGTGAGAAATATTTATTTACATTCTCCAGATAGATTAACATTTAATTATTTTCTGGAGACAAATATTTACCGGTTGAATTTGTCAAATTATTAATAAGTAACCAAAAACCGGCGGTGGCGGTGAATCGGCGGCTCCGATTCAACGTTTGCACGCGCACTCACGCACTCACACACGATTTAAAAAAAAAAAAAAGTAGTGACGATAATAATAATAATAATAAATTTTTCTCATAAATCAATGAAAAAATTATTCTTACACAAAAATGGCGAACGGGAGTAAAATCAAAAAATTCCCTCGAACGTTTTTAAGAGGATGAATAATGTGGGGGAGGAAAAGGAGGGGAAAGAGCGAGAATGAGGTAGGGGAGGGGAAGGGCAAGCGAGGAAAAGGGAGGAGGGAAGAGGAAGTCGACAAAAATGTAAAATAATTTTTTTTTTTTTTGAATGAAAATTAACCTGAAGGTATTAATAATAATTTTAAATTATCTGACACTTGGCGCCAAAAAATTCTCCAATTTGTCGTTTCCTTATATATATTTAAATCCACTTATTATCATTATTATCATTATTATTAATGATCGTTTATAATTTTTTATTATAAAAAAAAAAAAGAAAGGAGGAAAAAAATTTTTTTATTTTTTTTATTGATGGGTACCTATAAAAAAAAAAAAACGTAAAATGTTGAAAGATTTTTAATAATTTTCAGAAGCGATCGATGAGAGAGAGAGAGAGATAGAAAGAAAAAGAAAGTGGGGTAGAGAAAAAAAGATAGGTAGTAGAAAAAGGTTAAAAGAAAGACAGTAAGAGAGAGAGAGGAAAGGAAAGAAAAGAACAGAAGAAAAAAAACACAAAGAGAGGAAAAATCAGTAAAAAAGACAAAGAGAGAAAATGGGGGAAGTAGAAAAAATAGGAAATGTAAAGGGAGAAGAATGACAAAGTAAAAAAATATCCTGACGCAAGGGGCTCATCATTAATACGCTCTGAATGATATTCATCAATAATTCATATTTTTCCAAAAAAAAAAAAAAATTGGGGGGGGGCGAATCGGGGAGCAATTTTGTGAGGGAAGGGGGAATGGGAAAATTTGAAGAAAAATTAAGAAAATATTTTTTTTTCACAAGGAATGAAAAAAAAAACAAAAAAAAAAGATTAATTCGTAAAAGAAACTGGAAAAAAAATAAAGGGAATCAATCTGTTTCCGGTATATGTAAATTTTCCCTAACGGAAATGATAATGATAATAACTATATAAAATTCGAAACGGAAATGCAAGTTTAAAAAAAAAATGGCGGGTTTAAGGTAAACCTGAAATACGATGATGATGATGATGATGATAAAAACAACAACAAAAACTTTCGTTTGGGGAATCATGCGGTTGGGGGAATGGGGGGAGGTAGGGGGGGGAGTTAGAAGAAAAAAAAAAATTTTTTTTTGTTATTTTGTAATTGTGAAAACGTAAATTCAACCAGAAGTAATTCGTAAATTTTTTATTTTTCTTTTTTTTTGAGAAACTACAAAAAAAAAAATTACATTCAATTTAAAAAAAAAAAAGTTTACAAACTCGAGAAAAAAAAGAAAAAAGGAAAAGAAAGGAAAACCGTTTATGATTTTGTCACAAAAAGCCAAAAAAAAAGGGGGAAAAGGAAAGAAAAAGGAAAAAATGAAAAAAAAAGCTTACGAGTAAATCACCTCATGGAAGAAAAATATAAAAAAAAAAAAATTTTTTTTTTTTTCATTTTTTTTTCCTTCTTTTTTTTGGGGAGTCGACGGTAAAATTTTTGGAGAAAAAAGAATATTTTTATTATTATTCCAGCGAATTTTCCAAGTCAAAAAATATCCTCCAGGAATTTCTCCGCTTTTCTGTTTCTAAAAAAAAAAAAAAATAACTTTTTCCAGTTTTTTCTCTGTCCTTTTCCAAAAAAAAAAAAAAAACCTTTTTTCCATATATGACTTCGTAAAAGTTTTTTTTTTTTTGGAGAAAAAACCAGAACAATTTTATGACGGCCTCAGATTTTTCAAAGGTCGCTGTCGTCGTGGTATAGAAAATGAAAAAAGGAAAAAAAGAAAAAACCTTTTATTTTATTTCTTTTTTATCAACGAATTTTCCAAATATTAAAATAATAATAATAATTTTTTTTTTATTTCAATTGGCTCTCTCTCTTGTAACTTTTATAATTTTACTTCGTTAAATTTTTTCCTCCTTCTTCCCTCCTTCTTCCCTCCTCTTTCCTCCTTCACCGATAAATCTATTTTGTTCCCCCTCCTTCTTCTTCTTCTATCTGCAACCTTTGACCTCTCTCGCTGATATTTTTCATTTTTTCCTTGAATGTTTGTTCGAAAAGTTTTTTTTTTTTTTTTTTCAAAAAATCGACCTAATTATTATTTTTATTATCATTATATCTTTATTTATTCCGGATATGATTTTTTTTTTGGACGTGGCAATAGATAAAATAATTTTTTATTTTTGTATAAGTCGTTAAATAAACGAAGAGTTTAAAAAAAAAATCCGACGGGATAATTAAGTTTCTTTTTCATTCCACTTTTTTCGATTTTTGTTGTTTCTTCCCCCCCCGTTTTCATTTTTCTGCTTCCACGTTAAAAAAATTTTATTTTTTCATTTTTTATAAAAAAAAGATACGTAATAGGGTTTTCGTAAAGGGGAAAATTAAAATTCTTTTGGTTTACATAAATAACGTGTCGCGCTAGAGTTTATAAAGGAAAAAATTTGAGTTTTTTTTTTTTTCTATAAATTTCTGGTCAAAGGAAAGAAAAAGGAAAAGAAAATTTATATTTTAAATATTTTTTTTAGAGGGGAGGGGAGGAGGAGAATTTTTTTTTACTCATTTAACGAATTTAATTCTCGATTTGATTGTTTCCTTTGAGAAGGAAACAAACTCGACTGGATAGTCAATTACAAAATGAATAAGTTTTCAAAAATCGAAAGGGGGTCAGCCTGAGGGGGGTGGGAGTGGAGGCTAAGAAAACTTTGATACAAATTTTAAAAAATTTTTTTTTTCATCCCTTCTCAATTTTTTCCACGTTTTTTTTTCTTTTTTCTTTTGCCCAATTTTTTTTTTTTTTTTCATTTCAGTTTCATTTTTATCATTCCTTTTTTTTTCCTCTTTCCTTTTTTTCCTTTTTTTCTTTTTTTTTTTTAATCTAACTTAATTTTCTCATAAGACAAATTTTCATTTTAAATTTAATGCTATAAATTATTTCTAGTTTGCTACTTTTTTATTCCTTTTCTTTTCCATCTCATTGTTCGTTTCATTATCTTTTCCGCTTTTCCTTTTTTTTTCCTTTTTTTGAAAATCTTTAAGCTTTATACTTCTTTCAACCCGATTTGATAACGTTCAAGTTAAATAATTTCCGATAACCGTTTATCGAGGCGTTAATTTTCTTCTTCATTTTCTCTTTCCGTTTATTTAACGTTTCCATTTTTTCTAACCCCCCCTCCACCGCAACCTCTTCGTTCCCGTTCGTTTCCTTTTTTTTCCGGAAAGAGAGTAGGAGGAGGAGGGGGAGAGAAATGAAATTTTTTTAATAATGAAAGAATTTTTTTTTTTTTCGGGAGAAGGTACGAAACATGACGTAAATATTGTTCAGGCGAAACGTCCCACATTCGATTATTATATAAAAAAAATGCGGGCGGAAATTGTTATTATTATTATCATTCTGCTTTCCGTCCAATTGCATTCCGGAATGATTTTGTTTGAGTTCAAAAGTTCTAGAAGGTAACTGTGTGTGTGCGTGCGTGCGTGGAAAAAAAAATTTCCGCCATTCGCCCAGATGCGTTAAATCAATCAAAAGGAAATGTGATTTTCCGTTTTTTTTTTTTTAATTAGAAAGAAAAAACGCATAAAGTGCGTGAGTGCGCGTGTACATAACAAAGAATGGGGGGGGGTGATAAAGGGCAGGAGGGGAAGCGGAAACTTCCGGAAAATCAAATTCGAAACGAGGAAAATCGGATAAAAATAAAAAAAAATTGTTTGTAAAAATATGTTTTTGTTTTAATCCGTCGTTTCAAAATGACATTTGACGAAAATCCTAGGATTCTAATCCCACGGCGTTTTATTTTTTATTTTAAATCTACGAGAATTGAACGTTATATTTAATATAAAAATTATTATTATTATTATTGTAACGACAACGTCCTTTTTTTTTCGAGAGAAAATTTTCTTCGTTTGTTATTATCATTATTATTATTATTGCTTTACTGCCACGAAAAAAAAGTTTATAAACAACAAAATGTATTACATACAAATATGTAATTTTTTTCGTGGCGTTAGATTTAAGAAAAAAAAAAAGAGGAATTTTCAACAAAGGCTAAAAGTAATTTTTTTTTTCTTTCCATTGTCAAATTTGAAAATCAATAGATAACTAATAAATTTACTTTTTTCTTTTTACTGGAGAAGAAAATGGAAAGAAAAAGGAAAAAAGGAAAAGAATTTTTATTTTTTTTACCGGAAACGTGTTTACCTCTTTGTTTCAGACGGGCATGAGTCCAACTTCATGGACAATATTATTACAATAATTCATTTTACAAAAAAAAAAAATTTTTTTTTCTCCAGTTTTTCTGGATTTTTTGGAAAAATTTTTCTTTTTTCGTCGTGGTTTTAGAATTTTTCTTACTACCATCTTTCAACGCACACATTTCTTCCTCCCCTTCTCCGTTCGATAAAATAAATCTTAATGAATTTTTTTTTACTTTCTCCCTCCTCCAGATCTTCAAAATTCTCCAGCATTCTCTTCCAGTTCGGCCATTTTTTTTTTAATCCGAACGGTTGAACTTATATCATTTTTTTTTCTTCTTTCTTAAGATGAAAAACTTTTGCCAAATTTAAGACAGTTCAAAGGTGAAATCCTTTGTTATTTTCTTCTGTCTGACGCCAATCTTAAAGTTGGCAAAGGTAAAAAAAACGCCGACGAACAAGAAAAGAAGATGAAAAAGAAGAAAATCTTTACTCCTTCCCTCTCTTTCTTTTCTCTCTTCGTCTCAGCCCCCCGTTTTTTTTTTTTTTCTAATCAAAACCGGAAGTAGAAAAAAAAATTAAAGTCTTACAGAGTATTCTGATGGAAATGGAATCGCTTCTTCCTTCACCTTCGCTGTTTCTCGCACCGCAGGAATATTCTCCACCCTGATTGCTTGTCAGATTTCTTAGTTCAAGGTCATTTTCAATTATGTAAATCCCAGCGTTCGGATTATGATACACGAACATGTCCTAATAAATTAAAATAAATTAAATTAATGACGTCATAAGGGGGTCGGGTAAAATCTTGTAAGAAGAAAAAAAAAACGAGTAAATTTGAACGCGATTGTGTTTTTTTTTTACCCACTTTTTCCCCTCTATTCCCTCCCCTTTTTTTCCTTTCTTCCACTTCACTCCGTTTTCATTTTCCCAATGATTTCAACCCCGCTTCTTTCTTCTCCCTGCCTTTTTTTACCTTTTCTCTCTTTCATTCTTTTTTCACCTCTTTATAATTTCACCTTTCTCTCTGTTTTTCTTTTCCCACATTCATCCCCACTTCTCTCATCTACCTCTCTTTTTTCCTTTTTCACTTCTCCTCTCTAATCACCTCTCTTTTCCTTTTTAATCTCTTCTTCTTTCACTTTCACTCCTCTTTTTTTCTTTCCTTTTATTCCCGTTTTTCTTTCTTTCCCTCTTCATCCCCCATTTCTTTTATTTATTTACTTGCAAAAAAATCTGCTTATTTTTCTTTAAAAAAAAAAAAAAAATTCTCCCCCCCTTTCCCCCATGTACGTATTTCATACTTTAATTTCTTCCTTCCTGCCTTCCATTTTCCCATCTCGATTCATTCCCCCATATTTTTCTCCCTCCCATCTTCCTTTTACTTTTTTCATTTCCCTGATTTTTCTCCCCACCCCCTCCTCTTTTTTTTTTTTTTTAATTTAGTTTAGTTTTCACTCTATTGAAAACAAATTTAGAAATATCGGTTTTCGATATAAACGGACTTTTCAACGAGAAGGTTTGTTCGGGTGAACAACACCCGACGTAGAAAATGCCAAATATCAATATATCGGAGATATCATTTTCAAAAAGTTTACGCCGCGTAAAATAATAATAATAATAATAATAATTAACGAACGCTTATTTTTTTCTAGAATTATTTTTAGACGAGTAATAACAAATATTCATTTAAATTCACACATTCACGTAGTTTTAATAATAATAATGATAATAATAAAAGATTAACGAGTTTGCTAACGGTAACATTTTTTTTTTTTTTTTTATAACCGGAAAAATGCACAAACGTAATCATTACATCATACGGACAACCGTGAAAAAAAAAAAAAATCTTAAAAATTAATCATTAGTGCCACGTACAAAAAAAAAAAAATGTTTAACGTGGTCGTAAAAAAGCGAGGGAAAAAAAAAAAGTTCAATTCTGGACTTTTCCATGCAATTTTATTTTTATTACAAATGAGAAAAAAAAAAAAAATTTTTTTTTTGCAGCTTTGCAAATGTGTAAAACTTATTAAATTGCTTACGAGAGAGAGAGAGAGAGAGAGGGAGGGGGAGAAAAAGAGGGGGAAGAGAGAAAGAGAAAAGGAATGAAATAAAACAAAAGTTTTTTTTTTTTTGAAACAAAAAACGTTCCGCAAAATTTGTTACGTTACAAACACGAATTTAAACTTTACGTTATAAAAAAATAATTTTTTTTTTTTTTTAAAACAACAAACGGAAAACATAATATTGTGTTTTGTTATGTTTTTGTTTTGTTTTCTAAACTTAATGATTTAATATGTTTACTAAAACCGGAAACAGGAAAAAAATTATTTTTATTTAAAATTATTTAAAAACTCGATAGTTTTAGTTTTTGCAAACGTACGAGTTTTGTTCGAACATAACGAAACATAACGTGTTGTAATAATATAAAACCTAATAAAACAAATATTTAAAAACATAAAATAAATAAATAATAATAATAATAATCCCGATGACGTTTTTTTTATGTTTGTTTTCGTTTTTTTTAAATTCGTTTTTAACCGCACACCACACCATATTAAAACCTTTTTTTTTTCGCAAAACGGCATTTATTGAAAAAAAAAAAATTAATCAATCAATCATTCATTCATTCATTCATTCATTCACTTCGTCATGGGTTGACAATTGTAAAATTTCACTTACGACAAAACCATGAACCGAATTGTTGTTTTTTATACCGTTTATTTTCGTTTTTACGTCGATTGTTTTATAAATTTTTTTCTTTTTTTTGTTTAAAAAAAAAAATTTTGCATGCGAATGATAATATTCCGGATGATTTACGAATCTACTTTTTTTTTTGTTCAGAAAATATTATTATTATCATTATTATTATTATTTAAAATAATAAAAAAAAAAAACGAAAAAAAAAATTTTTTTTCTATGCTTTTTTAATATCTTTCATGCGTTTAAAAAAGACTAAATATTATTTTGTAGGCGTTACAAAATAATTTTTTTTTATTTTTTATATTAGGAAAAGAGAGAAAAAGGTGATTCGAGTTGGGGTATTGTTAAAACTGAAAAACATTTATTACAGATCACCCCCGATTTGAATAATATATGTTTAATCCTTAGGGGAAATTTTTTGGTTTTCCCCTGTCGTAAAATCTGATTTACGACTGTAGCTATCTTTAAAAAAAAAAAAAAAAACTTGCTAAAGGCAAATCCAAACGTTTAAATTATCTTTAATTGTAATTTGAAATCTTAGATAATTTTACCTTTTTACTTTTTATTCCTCTATTACTTCTTCTTTTTCTTCTACCCAATCCCTCTTCCCCTTTTTTTTTTTAAAAGACTGAAGGGTAAAAGAAAAAATGAAAATTTTAGAAAGAAGAATTTTTTTTTTTTGGGTTTAAAAGAAAGAAAAAGAAAATGAAAAAGAAAAAGAAGACGTTTTGTTGTTATTGCAATTGTGTTGAAAAAAAAAAAAAAATGTGTTTGCCTTAGCGATAAAAAAAAAAAAAATCAATAACAAAACTCGAGCAAACGGATTGTTATTTATGACCCTCCCCCTTCTCCTCCCCCTCCCGAAAAAAAGAAAAAGAATGAAAATTATATTTATTATCGAACAAACAGCATTTTTCTTTATTACGAGGGTAAAAATCCTTTTTTTTTTTTAAGGTATCGATATTAAATTTCTTTCTCTCTCTTTTTCTCTATCTCTCTCTCTTTTTCTTATATATATATATAAATAAATAAAAATTTGAAAACAATAAGAAAAAAGATAAAATAATAATAATAATAGTATTAATAATGATAAGAAAAAAAAAAATTTTTATTGATAAAAAAAAAAAAAAGTTTTTCATTCAAAATTTTCGTAAATAAACGAAAGAAAAAAGAAAGAAACTGGAAATCTAGGTTAACAACTTGGGGGAATAAGAAAAAGCAGAAGAAAATTTTTTATTGTAAACTAAGCAAAAACACAATTTTAGATTATACAATGATAAGAATGGGTGAAAGCGGAAGGAAAAAGGCACGTTTTCAACAGTAAACTTCTGAAAAAAAAAAATATATATATATATTTTCCTTGAATTGGTTGCCTTATTTACTTTCTTATACGTGCTCTTTTCAATAAATGAAAAAAAAAAAAGGTTCATGCAAAAAAGTAGGGGGAGGGGAAAAGAGCAAAGGAAGAAAGAATAAAAGAAAAGAGAAAAGAAACCGTATTGAATAACGAGTAAAAAGAATAAACAAAAAAGGTTCGGCGTGGAAAAACAATAAAAAAAATTTAGTCACAATTGAGATGATAACAACAACAACGTCAATGACCTTATCATTAACCGACTGATAACAAATTCGAAATGTACGATTCCGATACGACAGCATAACTCTTTCATTCATTACATAAATCATCATCGTTAATAAATTAATTAATTAATTATTATTATTATTTTAAAATTCGCAAAAAATAAATTAACTAATTAATAAATTTTAATTAATTTTATTTACGTTATTAATATTTTTAAAAAAGAACAAGACTAAAAAAAAATTTTTTTAAATAAAAAAGACGAACGTGGATTTTTTTTTTTCAGGCGTTCGTCGTTGTCGCGTTTTTTGTCGTGTCAACTCGAACGTCGTTTTTTTTTTTTTTTCTTATAAAACTTAACTTCCGTTTTTGTAATTCAAAAAAAAAAAATCTCATTATAACGCTTTAAAGTTCAATTTTGTTTCATTATTTAATACGACGCATACAAATTTAATTTACAATATTATTGTTATTATTATTATTATTATAAGGTCGTAATAAAATAATTGGATTTTTTCAAAAGGCGGAATCGAAAAAAAAAAAAAACGAAGGAGGGGGAAAGAGAGAAAAAGACAAAGGAAGACAAAGAGAGAAAAAAAGTAAGACAGAGAAAGAGAAAAAAAGAGAGAGACAAAGTGAGACAGAGAAAGAGAAATAAATAGAAAAAGAGGATGAAAAAGACAGAGAGAGAAACGAAAGAAAATAAGAAAAAGAGATATAAGAACGAAAAAAAAAAACAGAGTCAGAGAAAAAGAAAAAATAAGACAGAGAAGGGGAACAGGAAAGAGAAAAAAAACTAACTAGAAAGAAAGAAAGAAAGAGACAAGAAGACAGAGAGAGATAAACAGAAAGAAAAAGAAAGAAAAAGAAGCGAAAGAGTTTGAGATAAATAGAAAGAGAAAAAGAAGGAGAAAAGAGACACAGTAACGAAAAAGAGAGAGAGAAAAAGTAAGACAGAGAAAGAGGAAAACAAACAAACAATTATTCACTTCCGGTAAAAAAAAAAAATAATAATAATAAAAGTTTTAACTTTTTACGCAGATGATTATTATCTAGGTTACGACTTGTTAAACTAAATTTAAATAACCAAATTTTATTTAAAATTAAAAACAAAACAAAAAAAAAAACCTGGAAAATTTTTTTTTTTTTTGGAAAAATAAGGATTTTATCTAAAGATAAGGAACTGTCTCATCTGGAGTGGTTACAAAAATTAGACGAAACCCGATAATGTTGACTTTACTCAATTTATTGCTTTCTTATTTTTTAAAAAAACCTTTTTCAATCCGTTTCCCCGCCGCCCCCCACCAAAAAAAATTTTTCTCCAGTTTTTTTTTTTATTTTGAAAAATAAGTAAAAAACGTTGAAAATTTATATTGTGCTGGAAGGTGAAGAATTAAAAAAAAAACACGATTGGGTTTTTTACAGAAACTCAGTTTAAAAAAAAAAACTGGAAAAATTTTATTACGTCACGAGGATGAACCGGAAATGATTCGACCGTTCGAAAAAAATAAAATCGATTAATCGATTTTAGGAAAATTAAAATTAACCTGGAAAAAAAAAATTTTATATAAACGCACTCGTACGTATTTATAAAAAAATAAATTTTGGAAAATGGGATTTTTTGTTTTTTTGGAAATTTTTTTTTTTTTTTAATCCTCTGTGGAAAATAATGAAAATTGAAACAACCTTAGAAGAAAAACTTTTCCGAGCTTTTACGGGCGAAATATTTTGTTTGAAAAAAAAAAAAAAAATTCCACCATTTTCAAAGTTTAATGAGTTTAGATTTTCTCAAACGAGATTGAATTTTTCGATTTTGATTCGACACGTTTTATCTCTCTCTCTCTTCCCTCTACCCCTCTAACCCCTCTCTCTCTCCTCCCACTTCCCCTTTCTCTCTCTCTCTTTTTGATATGATTTTTCTAGCCGAAAGTTGCGCATTTTTATTATCATTACTATTAATATTTTTAAAACTTAATAAATTCCATTTGCGTTGTCGTTTGTTTGTTTTGCTATCGTTAATTCGGTTTTGCTATAAATAATATTTCTTATATGGTAAATATAGAATAATTTTTTTCCACCGATAAAGTCACATGAAAGATCGCGCCGAAATGTAAGAAGTGAATTTGAGTTTGATGATTTTTACAATAATAATCGTCCGTTTCCGGTTTTCGCGGTAGCACCGGAAGTTCCGTCACACATTCACCAAAAAAAAAAAAAATTTATTAAGAAAATGGCGTGGCATGGTCACCGCCATTTAACGGTAAAAACATTTAACAGGAAAAATGTTAAAATAAATTCTGGAAAATTCCGACGAGTACGTAAAACTTTAAATCAATAATAATAATAATAATGATAAGACGCTAACGGCGATCGAAAACTAATAAAAAAATAATTTTTTTTCTACATAAATTTAAATTTCGTCTGCTTTTGTTTATACAAATTTTAAAAATTTTTTCAGTAAAAAAAAAAAAAACGAACATTTCGTTTCTTAGAAATTTCAAATTTTTTTTTTTTTAACGATAAAAATAATAATAATAATAATGATGACGATGATTATAAATAAATAAATTGTATCGATTGTATCGATTTTCGTTAAAGTTATTATTTTTTTTTTTTTAAAAGTGTTTAGCAGAAGAAAAATGAAAAAAAAATTCGATAATTTAGTTAATTTAAATTAAAAAAAGAAAAAAAAATGTCCGACTTATTTGATTAAACGTGTCAAGTCAACTTTATAAAAAATCATTTTTCTTTTTTTTTTGACGATTATTATTTTTATCAACGATAAAAAAAAAAAATAATAATAATAAAGCAGAAGAAAAAATATTATTAGCTGTTAAATGGTAAAATCATTTTTTTTTTTTTTCAATACACAAAAATAAGAAAACATTTTTTTTTCCGATACGATGAAAAGGAGGATAGGGAAGGGGGAGGGAGTAAAAAAAAAAGAATATTTGAAAAAATCATTTTCCATTTTTTTTTTTTTTTTTAAAAAAAAAACTTATTGACGTCGTTCAAATCAATCATTTTTTTCCTTTTTTCTCCTTTTTTCCCTTTTTTTTTTTTTAATAATTTTTTCAATTTTTTTTCAATACCGTTCCGCCTATCATTTTCGTTTTATTAAAAAAAAAAAAATTAAAATTAATTAATTCAAGTTAAAAACGTTAGAAACGATCAGTTTGCAACTTATGCCCTTTTTGCATCGATCAAACAAATTCTCGTTTCTCATTGGTCGGATCCTCCGGTCTTTACGTTTTCTAATTACTAATTACGTATTCAATTTTACACTCGTCACTAACATTACAAACCCCTGGAATCGTAACTATTCTACTTACGCCCTTTTTATTCTAATTAATAATTTTTAAATAAAAAAAATTTTCTCGACTCTGATTGGTCGAAATCGGACGACTCCAACCAATCAGAAAAAATTTTATTTTTTTTTCTCGAGTCTTTGTCATTGTCGTTGCTGTTGTTGTCATTAATATTATTACAAACCGCGTTAGTTTTGTAACATCGGTGTCTGTACAAACCGTAGCAAAACCGAAAAGAAGGAAAGGGTAAAAAACAAACAACAAACAAACAAACAAACGAACAAACCAAAAAAAAAAAAAAAAGAAAAAAAATTTAACCGAAAAAGGGAAAAAAAACTTAATGGAAATAAAATAACGATCATTTGCATTTGTTTTAAAATTTTCCACCTGTTTGTTTGTTTGTTAAGAAGAAAACTTTCTGATTAATAAATAATTGTAATTTATATATATATGTATTTCAATAAATTAGTAAAATAACAAAAACTCACCCCGTGAAACCATGATATATGCGACGGTTTGGGATTAGATTTTATTTTACAGGAAAACCGAACTTCATCCCCTTCTCTTAAATATTCAGGGTCGATTCTAGGTCCGATGATTTTAACACTCACGCTCGGTGGATCTGCAATTAATTATTATTATTATTATTAACGTAATCATAGTCGGATTAACGAATACGTGTTGTGATTTTTTTAAAAAATTTAATTGTTATTTTAAAAGCGGATAAAAAAAAGGTATTAAATTATTAAAAATAAAAACGTTTTGTTTGGGGGTGAGAAGTGAAAAACGGGAAGTAAAAAAGAAAAAAATGAAAACGAGAAGAACAAAGAAAAGAAAAAAAAAATTATGTGTTCGAACAATAAAAATCTTAAAAAAAAAAAAAAACTGCCAAAGGCAGAATTTTTAAAAAAGAAATTATTAAATTTGTGGACCAACTTTTTTTTTTTTTTTATTATTTTTCAGTCGAATAAATTATCAATAAAAAAAAGGAAAAAATGGAAGAAAATAAAAGGAAGAAAATAAAAGGAATGAAAATAATAAAAAGTATTTGAAAAGAATTATTTTTAATTGATTGCGCACCTTAACAAAAAAAAATAATCAAACCTTCTAGAAGAAGTATAATAAAAAAAAAAAAATATCATCCAAAGGAAAAAAAGGAAAAAAGAAAAATTTTTTTTTTCCAGCTGGAAAACTTTTTTTTTTGAAAAAGAAAAACTCAATTATAATTTATATAAAAAATCAATTTTTGATTAAATTACACGTGAAAAATTTTTAAACTTCCGCCTTTTTTTTTTGTCATCGATTTCATCGTCGCCGGTTCTACTTCCGTCATTTTTATTTTTATTAAATTAATTCAATATGTCTGTCTTATTCACACTTACATAAAACCGTTAGTTCCACGGATTCTTCTAATAAACTCCCCAAATATCTTTCGTTTTCCGCTCTGCATGTCAATTCTTTACCATCGTCTTCCGGTTTCGGTTTATACGTTAAAACGCTCGTCGTTAAATTTGTTTCTTGCGTTACCTGCGTAAAAAAAAAAATTAATTTTATTTTATCTCCCCCTCCCCCTCCACCTCCTCCTACTCTCTCTCTCCCCCTCTACATCAATTGATAATAAATTACCCGGCGTAATAATAATAATAATAATAATAATAATAATAATAAAGAGAAATATTTTTACGGCGTAAAAAAAAATTACGATGTAGACAAATAAAGTAATAAAAGTTAACCAAGTTTAATAGTTTTAAGAAATCTTTTGTATTAACTAATTAATTACTTTATAAGCTCAAGAGACCGTAAATTGTTTTTTATATATAATTACACAACAAACAAACAAACAAACAAACGCATAACTTTATTCATTTTAGTTTATATGTAGGTTCAAACTCCTAAGTCAACAACAAAGAATTCATTTCCACGGATATAAAACGAAAAATTTTTTTTTGTTATTAATTTTTTAAATAATTTGTTTTATTATTATTATTATTATTAATATTATTATTATTAATATTATTATTATTATTATTATTATTATTATTATTATTATTATTATTATATTAAAATTTCTGTCGTGAACTAATGTAAATAGTTAAATTAAATTTGTTGTTTGTTGTTGTGGGGGTGGTAGTGATAATCGAATTTTTTCATACAAACGCGTGGGATTCAGTAATTATTTTCCTTTTTTGTTTTGTCATAAGGTAAACGTGGGCGTGATTTAATGCAAATGTTTAAAAAAAAATTTTTTGGGGGGGGGTATTTTTTATTGTGTAAGGTAAATATGGACGTAATGTAATGCGAAGATATAAAAAAAATGGCTTTTTTCTGTTTTTTTGATTTTTTCAGAAGAAAAAAAATTATTTTAACGCTTTGAAGAAAGGGACTGGGGCGGGGGAAGAGGGGTTGAGGGAAATACGTTCGAAAGGTACTAATAATAATGATGATGACGTTTTAATTTTTTTTTCCCGGGTTTTTTCTCTCTCTCTCTCTCTCTCGAAACCTAACGGGGGATCAGGTTTTTTTTGTTTTGTTATCACGTACGGCGATAATACTAATGCCACGTGAGAATTGTTTGTTTTTTACACGTCATCAAATACGTTTTTAAATAATAATAATAATAACAATGATGATGATGATGATGATGATTTATTGGGAAATTATATAAAATTATTTCGATTTTTTCTATGTTGGTACGATGATTATCGGCATGCAATTGGCGTCCGGGGGTTTTTTAAAATCTGACGTCATAATGACGTCATTAAAATAGTAATAAAATAAATATTTACCGAAACTCCAGCGTTTCTTATTGGTTCTCCTTCGAGAAGCCACGTGATTTTAGCAGGTGGAATCGATCCCCATGTATCACATTGATATTGTTGCGGACGTCCGGACGATAATAAATTACTTATAAAATTTATTTTCACCCATTTCGGTTTAACTAAAAAATTCAAAAAAAAGAAAAAAATTATTTGCCATCGTTTGTTTCTTTGTTCGTTTGTCGGGAATAAAAAAAAATTTATATAAATATACGCGACGGGAAAATTACAACACAAAAAAAATTTTTTTATCGGAGTCGCGGATATGAAAACGCGGCGAAAATTTTCCTTTTTTTTTTTAAATTCAAAATGGCGTCGTATTTTTTTTTTTTTTGGAAAAACAACGTTCGAAAATAAAGAATGAAAAGAAAAGATTTTTCTCCCTATTTTTCGGATTTTTCCTTCTTTTCACATCCCGACTCAATCTCACTCGCGCCACAACCACATCTTCTTATTTTTTCTAAAACCCCGTCAAACTATAGGTTCAGGTTTCAATTTAACGTTTCACTGATTGTGTACATACAATCGGGAGAGTTAAAAGAGTGGGGGGTAAAAAAAAGAAATATTGGAAAATATTATCCGGTGATGAACAACTTTCTCTACACATCGGATTTGTGAAATTGAGTGAAGATGAAAAGAGTAGCATGCCTCTCTCTCTCTCTTCCTTTTTTTTTTTTTACCAGAGACATAGAAATAATCAAACAAAGTGAGAGAGAGTCGTAAAAAAATTGGTTTTCATTTTTCTTATTTTTCCTTTTTATTATTATTATTATTATTATTATTGTTGTTGTTGTTGTTGTTGTTCTTATTATTATTATTTTTCTTATATATATAAAATGTACTTTTTTTTCTTTCTTTTCTTTAAAAAAAATAAAATAAATAGAAAAAAAAACAACCAGAAAAAATGATTTTTCTTTTTCTTTTTTTTATCTAGTGACACGATGATAGTTCTACCGTGAAAAAAAATAACATAAAAACTCATCCCTTGAATTATATAAATAAATAAAATTTTTTTTATTATTTGTTTTAAAAATAAAATAAAATAAAAATTTTTAAACGTTTCATTTTTAATCATTTCCGTTTTTTTTTTTTAACCGGAAACGGAACTATTTAGAACGATTATTAAAAAAAATTATTCGGTTATCGGTTTTATTAACGTCTTTGGGAAAAATGTTTTCGAGATAAAAAAAAAAGTCAGGAAAGGGAAATTAAAAAAAAAGAGAAAAAAAATGTCGTGAATCGATTGTTGTGTGCATTCGCAAACAACAAAGAAAAACAAAAAATAATAATAATAATAGCACTCATTCACATAACAATAATGATGATGATGATAATGTTGATATAAAAAAAAAAAGAAAAAAGGGAAATAAAAAAAAAAAAAAAAAAACAAGTAAACTCGATAACATCAATTTACTTTCTGCGTCTGGAACAAAAGCCTTTGGGAATTCTTTTCGTGTTTGCTCTTCGATTTCTCTCAAACATTCAGTCTGCTTTGCACCTGATTTGGTTTGAGATTTTCTCACGACACTTTCATCAATCTCGAAATCGATTGCCTGAAAATCTGATTACATTTCTCCAAAGTACAATTTCAATTTTGATATTATTATTATTATTATTATTATTATTATTGTTATTTTTTCTTGACTAAACTATTTTTTTTTTTTTTTTTGCGACTAACGAATGTAATTTTGTTTTATTTTTATATGTGGAAACTTTAAAAAAAAAAATGAGTTCCGCGTACGGCGTTGCATTCACGTACAACCAATTGCATCACCGTAAAAATTTTGGGCGTTTTTTCTCCTTTCTTTTTCTTTTTCTCTCCCTCTCTCTTTCTCTTTCACGGGGAAAATTTATTTTTTTCGAATTTCAATTTAACAAGCATTCTGTAGGGTATACCCTTTATAATGATTTATTATATCGCGAAAAAAAATGTCTTACCCTGGTAATAAAACAGGACAAATCTTGTTAAATTTATTACTTTTTTCTTTTTTTTTTTTTTGTATTCCCCAAGTAGAAAGAACGAACGAAAATAATAATAATAATAATAACTATATATATATATATATTTATTTTATTTATTTTTTTTAAAATCGCCAAGCAAAATAAAATAATAATAATGATTTTGATAATTTAAGTCAAATTTAAAAGATTCAAAAAAATACACGCGTTACAATTTTGTTAAAAAAATAAATAAATAAATAAATTTATTTGTTAAAACGATAGAAAAAAAATAAACGTAAAAAGTTACGTGTGAAAAAGAACAAGAAAAAGAGAAAAATGAAAAGAAAAGAAAATGAAAGGAGAAAGAAAAAAAATTGAATGAAATAGAGAAAGAAAAAAAAAAAAATTTAATTTATTTGAAAAAGTTGAGTGCAAGAAAACATTTGAAGAAAGCACATCATCAAATTTAGTTAGAAGAAAGAAAGATAGATGTATTAACCAAGTTTTTTTTTTTTTTACGAAAGGATCGGCGGATTTGAAAACAGGGAGGTAAACTTAACAAAAAAAAAAAAAAAGGTTGTTTTGTTTCCGTTTTGTCTAGGCCTTAGAGGACATAAACATCATTTTTTTTCCTCCTTCTTATTAGTATCACAGGAAAGTAACTAACTCGGCGTTTTCTTTATTTATTTCTTTTGTTTTTCCCGGAAAAACTTTTCCTTTTTTTTTTGTTTATTAGAAAAAATGTATCCCCGAATACTCATGCGTAACCTTTTTTTTTGGAAAATAATAATAATAATAATAATAATAATAAGACGGTAAATTATTTAAAACTCTGAAAGCGATAATAATATTTTTATATCGCAAAACAGAAAAAAAAAATTTTTTTTTTCTTTTTTTTTTTTTTTATTTAACCTTTACCCTCTGACCTTTGTTTTAGTCCCTGTATTTCCGGTTTAAATGAGTAATTTCGTAATATTTTCATTTACGAATAATACTCAAAACAAACAGAGAGAAAAGAAAGAAAAGAGAGAGAGAAAAAAAACTTGTTTAAAAAAAAACCGGATAAGCGGTTTTAACTTTATAATCTCGTTAATCCGATTTAATCCAATTTAATTAGAAATTAAAGGATATGCATTCACGTTTTTTTTTTTTTTTGTTTGTTGTTTGTTGTTTATTTGCTTTTCTTTTTTTTTATGTTGTTGTTGTTGTTTTTGTTTTCGAAAAATGAAAAACGATTAAGTTTTAAAAAAAAAATTTTTTTTTTTAAATTATGAAAAAAACAACAACGACAACGACAACAGCAAAAAAAAAAGGATTAACTGGAATTTTATTGTCATTTGAAGTCTTTCTCGCTCTCCCCCCTCCTCTTTCTCTCTCACTCTATTTTTTTTTTTTCTGGAATCGTCATTTTTCCAGGCTGGAAACAAACAAAAAAAAAAAAACGAACGATTAACGTTAAACGTTTTTTTTTTTTTGCATTTAAAAAAAAAAAAAAAAATTATCAAAAGACTCAACGATCCGACCAATGAGAATTTAGTATTTTTTTTTGTGTGTGTTATGTTTGCAGTCCTGCCTTTTACTTTTTTTTCTTTTGTGTGCGTGATTGCGTGCGTGTGTGTTTTGTTTTTAAAAAATAATAAATTTAATTTTAATTTTTGTTTTTTTTTTTATAAACAAAAAACATTTTTTTTCTTTAAAAAAAAAAGAAAACAAATTTTTAATTTTCTAATAATAATAACAATAATAATAATAATGATGATGATGAAAGTAATGATGATGATAATGATAATGATGATTATAAAGGTAAACAAAAAAGAGAGGAAGAAAACGATATTGAACAAAAAAAAAAAAAAATGAAAATAAAACCGGATATAAATATGAAATTTTGCTTCTTTTGCTGTTGTTGTTGTTGTTGCTGTTGTTCAAATATCCGCCATATTATGATTTACTCAAAAACAATAATTGATTAAGATTTTTTTTTTGAAAAGAGATTGTTTTTGTTGTTGTTGTTATTTTTATCGAAAAAATAACATTTTTCGTTAAGAAAACATTTGAAAAAAGAAAAAAAAATTTTTTTCTTTTTTCCCACGAGGGATTAAAACTTTTATTTAATAATTACGTCATGCTTCTACGATAATAATGATAATAATAATGATAAACAATCACAAATATATACATATATATATATATATATATATATATATTTAAAAAGGATGAATTAATTAAAAATCGCCGGAAGTCATTGAAAAGTCATTCAGTCAGTCTCTCTCGTGTTATTACATCCGTGAATTATTCGCCTCTTTCCTCTCTTCCCGTGGGGGGTCAGGGGTAAGGGGAGAGGGAGAGGGAAAAATTAAAAAAAATAAATAAAAAACTTACGGTACACTTCGATACGAATTTCTTTAACGAGTGGAATTGAATTTTCCGTTACGTAAACTTTACATTTAAGTTTTGAATTGTATAATTTTCTCGTTACGTTTGATTGAAAATATTGATTGACGGTTAAAGAGGGACCAGATGATTCCATTACGTCATCTAAAAGTTCATCGTGTTCGTTCCACCATGTAATTTTCGGTCGTGGACGTCCTTTTTTATTAGAAAACAAACATTTCAATAAAATTATTAAATAAAATTTATTTATTATTATTTTTTTCAACTCACCTCCTACGACGTGGCAGGAAAGAAAAAGATCGTAACCTTCCATAAACGGACCCGCCATTCCAATAACTTCTTTTCCTTGTGCATCGTATATAATCGGATCCGACGGTTGCACTATAAAAATTATTATCATTATTAATTAATAAATTCGTTAAATTTTTTTTTTTTTTTTTATGTCGTCATCAACGTTACCTATTAGCGTTAGATTAACTTTATAATTTTTTGTCGGTGAATTATTAAAATCAATTCTACACCGGTAAATTCCTTGATCCGATTCTGCGACCTTTGATATTTTTAATCTTGATCTAATGGAACCTTTTCCTAAAAGGAAATTCGATCTTGAACCGAAATCGTTACTCATTGCCCAGTGTATGGCGTGTTCTAGCGGGCCCCCTCTCGCATCCAAACTGTAATTAATATTATTATCATTATCAATTTAATTTTTTTAATTTTTTGGGAACGGAAATTAAAAATTTTTTTCCTTTTCCGGTAATAAACCCCCTCGCCTCATCTTTTCTTCCTCCCCATTTCATTTATTTTTTTAAAAATTTATTATTTTTCCGTAATTTTGACGTCATTAAAATGTCATCACGATTAATATTATTAAAAAAACGTCTTTAAACTTAAAACATACACACACACGTGCGTTTAACTATATCCGGTTTTTTGTACGTGCGTTTAACTATATCCGGTTTTTTGTACGTGCGTTCGTGTGTGCGTGTGCGTGCGTCGTAATTATTTATCGATAAAAACGCTCGCGTTTTGTGAGCATAATTTTATTATTATTACGTAAAAAAAAATATTATTAAATAAAGTCTTTAATATGGCGTGCACACGCTCACGCACACGCACACGCACACACAGTTGTTAGAGACACCACGTTATCTTAAAAACTTTTTCCAACGTATTAATTCAGTTGAATTAAATAACAAACGCAAATTAATAACAGTTGAAATAACAGAGCATAAAATGTCTTCTTAATCTTAATCGTTCGTTAACAAATATTAAATATCAAATCCACGGACGAAATCAACCGGGAGAATGGGAATGAATCCTTTCTTCCTATCATTCCTTCCTCCCTTTCTTTCTTCCTGTCTTCCTTAAAATTTTCCGTTGACGTGATTAATAATTATTATTATTATTTGTTTGAGTGACGCGAGTGAGTGAATATCTCGGAATATAAAATATTCGTGACCTCGTGAAAAAAAACCTCATTGTTATTATTATTATTAGTTTTTAGTGTGATTTAGGGAGTCAGGAAAACTGAGTAATTGTGGTATCGATTCCCGTTAATATAAAACCGCAAAATGACACCGACGACCGCGATACAAACAAACGAACAAACAAACAAACAAACGATAATTCCCTCACTACTCATTGTCGAAAAAAAATTCATCATGTTTTAATTGTAATTTATTATTAGGGGTAAGAAAAAGGTTAATTTTCCTTTCTTTTTTTACCAAGAGTAATTTATTATCATTATCATTATTATCATTATTAGTATTAGTATTATTATTATTAAACAAAACGTTTTTGAAAAATTTTCAACGTAAACAAATGTAAAAAAATAAAATAAAATAAAAAATATTTTTGTTTCGTATTTTAAAAAACGAATGCAAAACCGCAAAATTGACGGAAAATCCCTTTCGGCTCTTATCAATTATCGGTCATCAACATCGTCATCACTTCCCACCGCCCTCCATTCCCTTCCTAAATTCCACCCCCCTCATCCTGCACCGCCGAAAATTAAATTTTTGTGAAAAATAAAAACGCGAGAGTTTATTTTTATTGCTAACAACAAAACGAAAAAAATAATAATAATAATTTTTGTTTTTTTAAAATCTCACGTTCTTCCCCCTCTTCCTTCCTACTTTCACCTCCTACTTCCACCCACTTCCTCCCCCCAAATGACAACGACAACAACAACAAACTCAGCGTGTTTTTTTTTTGTTGAAAATTATTTTAAAAAAAATTTTTTTTTTTCCCAGCAAAAATTTGAATTTTTACATTGATAAATAATAATGATGATGATAATAATGATAATGATAATGATGACGATTTGTCGTTAGTTTTACGCTGGAATTTTCACGTATGTTTAACTCATCGGAAATGTAAAAAAAAAAAAAATTAATTTCGAAAAAGAAAATTAACGGGTAGAAAAACTTCTACTTTATTTTAATTGTTTAATAGTAATAATAATAATAATAATAATTACAATTCGTGTATTAGGTTTTCACGCGCACTCACGCACCTTCGTCCCCCTCCTCCCCGAAAAAAAATAATTATAGATGTTTATTTAATTAATTACGGGTAATTTTAATTAAAATCTCACAAAAAGGTAATGAAAAAGGTGGCGGCGGCGTCGGCGGTTTTCTTTATAAGACATAAACGGTCTCCTTTTTCCTAACAATAAAAACTTTTAGGGGTAATTAATTCACGTTAATATGTTGTTAAACTTACATAGAAAAAAAAAATTCCAGAACTGGAGAAAATAATAAAAAAAAATTCCAAAACGTTTGATTCCAGTTTTTTTTTATTTTTTAATCTCTGGAGAATGATAAAAATTTTTTTTTTTTTAAATTATGCTTATTAATTTTTTTTTTTTTTTTTTTTTTTTTTTAATCAAGAGTTTAGTCATTTTTCACTGTCAAAGACATTTTTTTTCTGCTGTTCCTGTTACTGGAGCTGGAACTGGAGCAATTAAAAAAAAAAAAAAAAAAAAAGTAATCAAAAAATTAAGTTTGTCAATTTATTGTTCGTATGACAATCCAGAAAATTTTTTACTGGATTGTTTGTCCAGAGGGTAAAAAAAAAAAAATAAAAAAATAAAAAATGTCAGATTTTTTTTTTTTAATGCCCGGAACGAAATAAAAAAATTTCTTTTAATTTCTCTTCTCCCTTTCCCTCCCCCCAAATTCTTTCCGAAATGAATAATAATAATAATTTAAAAGTTTTTTCCAAAAAAAAAATTACGTAATGAATTTAATATAAATTATTTATTAAGTAAAAATGTCTGAATTTTAATTGTTTGTCGTAAAAAAAAAAAAAAAATGGCATAAAAAGTTTTCATAACTTTTTTTTTTTTTTTGGTCTTTTCATTTTGACTTTTTCAAAACCTTAACCGGTTCCAGAAAAAAAATTCTGGAAGTTCTCTCTCTTCCCCCAAAAAAAATCTTTTTTTATTACAAGTTACAAAATTTTTTCTTTTTTTTTTTATTGTTTTATAACCATTCGGGGAAAAATTAAAAAAAAAAAAACCAACCAAAAAATTCGATATTATTTAAACGTGGCAATAACGGCACAAAAAAAAAAATTATTCTGGAATTTTCCAAAACTCTCTCTCTCATCGGTAGTATCATGAAAAAATGATTCCTTACCCAGCAAAATTTTTTATGTATGTAACCGATATCAACCATAAGATAAACACGTGTAAAATACACATTATAAAATTTTATAACAAATAATTTTTATTATAAAATGAAAAATATTAAACCATTTCCGGTCGTGTAAAAAGAAATCGAGAGACAAGAAAAAAAAATCTTATTCAGCTTAAATAAAAATTCAATATGGCGGAATTAAAAAAAAAAAAATAAAATTGCAACAAAGCTTTTTTTTTTTCAAAAGTTGGATAAATGTAAAAAAAAATTTTCTCATCGTTTCGATTTCTTTCCCCCCCACGTTTGTTTGTTTGTTTGTTTGTTTTATATACGCACACACACGTGAAAAATATTAAATTAAATTTGGCAACATTGATTTAAAAAAAAGTTTTTTTTTTTAAAGTTGTAAAAAACAATAAAAACTAAAATGGCGGTCAACTCGAATGGAAAAAAAAAAAAAAGTTTTCCACCATCAAAGGTAAATGTACCGGATATTTTACTTTATCGATAAAGATTTGTTATAGAGCGCTATATTTTTTTTTTATAGCCTCTATAATTTTCTTCTCTTTTTTTCCCCTGTGAAAACATACTCATCTGACCTTTTGACCTCACGTCTTTGTACAAGTATGAAAATGAGAAATGAACGAGTAACTGGAGAAACGAAATCCAGAAAAGAAAAAAAAAAGTACGAATTAAAAAATTAATTTTTTTTGTATTATTAATCGTTAACAAACAAACTCACGAACAAACAAACAAACGAACAAACAACAAACGGGAATAATCTTATCGGTCAAATAAAAATTTTACTTCTTAAAATAAATTTAATAAAGTTTTTCTTTTTTTTTTTTTTATAAGAAAACAAACATAAATGCACTAAAGTTACGTTACGCGCGTTTGTACGTTTGTCCGTACAACAAACAAACAAACAAACCTAAAATCTTGATTTATTACTAGGTCATAAATTTAAGATTTTTCATCACACATTACAAAAAAAAAAAGGCATTAAAGTAATGAAAATGGCGCCTTAACAGTTTTTTACTTTTTACTTTACTTTATTTTTCCTCCTCTTCTCCTTTTTTTTGTTTATTACGCGTGTAAAAAACGCGGCGTAAATTTATCGAACGTACCTTCTATTATCCGTTAAAAAAATATTGTTTTTTTTTTTTTTTTATGGGAGGGAAGAGGGAGGGAGAGAGGAAGCGGAAACGAACGAAACACAAAAAAAAAAAATTTTTTAACAATTTTTATCATCACCTCCCCATCTTTCCTTTGTTATCTTTGTTAACGTTATCAACAAAATAAAGATAGGGGGAGGAAAAACGACTGATAAGAAAATTTAAAAAAAATTTCCCCCCCCTCTTCCTCCCCAATTAAAAATCCCATTCGTGAATTGAGAAAGAAAAAAAAAATTAAATATTCGTTTTATCCATTTAATACTTTTAGAAATTTCTAGAATTTCTTCTCCATGATTACGGGGGAGGGATGGCGAAGTAATGAAGGAAGGGAGGGGGAAGCGGAAACAGGAAGTTTCCGTTAAATTTTGTTTTAACGATTTTTTTAAATATTCGATTATTTTCAAATGAGTTCCTTTTAAATATTTACACAAAAAAGTAAAAAAAAAAAAAGAAGAAAAGTTTTTTCCACTAACAAAATTTTCCAGAAACAACAACAACGAGAAAATAATAATAATAATAATAATAATAATAATAATAATAATAATAATAATATTTAATTGAAAAAACTACTCTTATATAAAACGCAATAAAAATTTATAACAAAACGTGAAAAGCGAAATAATAATAATAATAATAATAATAATAATAATAATAATAACTGAAAAAAAACTTTTTTCCTTTTCTTTTTTTTTTAATGGAAATTTAATTTAGTTTTTTTATTTAAAATTACCTGCGTAAATTACGCTGCGTTTTTTTTTTTTTTTAATAATAATAATAAATGAAAGGATAAATTGTTTAAATTAATAACAACGAGTGGCTACTGCTACTACTACTATTACGACTGCTGGAATTAATTAATTAACAAAAAAAAAGAAAAAAACTGGAGAAGATAAAGTTTTAAAAGGTCATCCAAGAGGAAATAATTCGAATTAAAATAAAAAAAAAAATT